TATATAATTTTAATACCTGTGTTTGTAATTGCCAACCACTGAAATAGGGTAGTTGGTCTAACCGCAGTAGTGTAGATGGCTGGGTGCTACTCTATGATGCTGGAGCCATAATGTAAGGTCCAAGTTCAGATCCCACAATGATCTGAGTTGCCTGGCGGGATTCTGGGTAGGTGAGAAGCTTGGGAAAGGATCTTAGCATGACAAGATACTGCCATAAATGTCTGTCTCTGTCAATATGTTTTTCTTTTACTCTCTTCTCTCAAGAAACGAATGAAGTAGACTTGAAAAACAGTGCCAGCTGGTGGCATGGTGGTTAAAAGTAGCTGTATTGCACATGGGTGAATGCATGGTTAAGTCCCAGACCTGGAGGTTTAAAAAACATGCCAGGCCATGGGAACCAGCAGTTAGCATAATGGCTATGTCGCTGGACTCCCACGTAGTCAACCGCGGTTCGCATCCCGGACCCGGTGGCTTAAAACTCACGCCGGGCGCGTGTGCGTGCATGCCCAAAATCCCGAGAGGAGAATGGAGGAGAAGGGATTGCGGCGTGACCATCCCCCCTGGGGGGTGATTTCTCGCTTTCTGTCTCTAATGTCTCTCTCTGTCTGTCTGGTGAGTGCATGCGCCCTATAGCAAAAATCTCTCCCAAAAAAAAAAAAAAAAAAAAAAAAAACATGCCAGGCCAGTGTGTGTGCATGCCCAAAATCCCAAAATTAGAGATGGAAGGGACTGTGTGGCATGATCATCCCCCATAGATGTGCCTTCTCACCTTCTCTCTCTCTGTGTGTTATCTCTCTGGCAAGCATGTATGCCCTCTGGTAAAATTTAAAAACGAATAAACAAATTGGGTAGTACTCATTTTGTCCAGCCACATTTGTATACAATTACCATTTTTTAAGAGGTTTTTGCCTTAACGCATATGTGCTTGAGGGAGTTGGGGGGGAGAGAGAGAGACGGGGAGAGAGAAAGTGAGAAATTGCCCAGGGAATATGACCATTCCACAACCCCCTTCTCTATTCTCCTCCTGGCATCTTGGGCAGGTATGCGCACATGACCCGCATCATTTTGAGGCCACCAGGTCTAAGACTTGAACCGTGGTCAGTTTCGCAGGAGTCCAGTGAGATCATTGCTACCCCACCTGCTGGTCCCCCACAATTACCATTTAAAATTCGCTTTCTCAAATACTATTTGTCCAAAGTCACAATTACTTATCATTCTCTCAACAATCTATATTCCTATTCTGAGGTTCTGCCTCTTCTTATTCTACCCTCCATTCCCATTTACAAGAACAAGTTAATAAACCTTAAAGGTGCCAGTGGTAGCTCTCCCATGAACCTCCCAAGGACTTCTTTCTTAAAATAATTTCTTTCTTCTTTATTCAGTGCTTATCATGTGTTAGCACTTTACATATTCTAATGCTTAACATCTCTTTTAAAAGTATTGTCTTCCCACTAAATAGATAAGGAAACTGATTCTGAGTTTTCATATCATGTTCAAAATCATAAAACCCAACAGGATTTCGAACTCTAGTCTCCATACCTTAACTGAATTCCTTTTTCCACGAAACCACAGACTACATTATTCTTACAGTATATATACTGTATTGTACTATATTGCATTATTATTCAAATATTTATTTCTTCCACTAAACAGGTGCTCCTTAAAACAGGGGCAGTAACTCCTTTCCTATATTCTCAGCAACACTCAAAAGTGCCTATTATACAATGATCTTAATGTGTTAGTCTATAATATGGATTAGGAAAATGGTTTTGCAGCATTATTTTCCACTGATTAGTTGTCTTCTACCAAGAAGCCCATTTCACTGTGCAAGTAAAGCATGAGGGCTTAGAACGTAGGCTTTGGAATCAGGTTTCTTGGATGTACCATCGTAAAGTCAAAAAGCTGTAAGTTGAATCGTTCGTTGCAAGCCAGGGACTGTTGGTGTATCTGTCTCCACTCCTAGGCTTTGGAATCAGGTTTCTTGGATGTGACTCCCATATCACTGACTTATTAGCAGATAAATCTCAAACAAATGTATTAGCCTAAATCTTAGTTAACTCATCTATAAAATGGGGGAATTATCTACTATAGATTATATACAGATTACATGAGATAATGCATAAGCATTTAACTATTTGTTGGTCCTTATTTTTTCCACATGTCACCCTAAATTCTTTGACTCAGTCAACCCTTTTGCATTAATGACAAATTCCTTGTAATTTTTTATTAAATGGACTAACCAAAATATTCATAGTTTAAAAATTGCTCAGGCCACCTTTTGTATTTGTAGGGCTAATTATCCAGTGCCACTTTGGGCTCAAAAAAAATTTACCCTTAGAAGTTCAACTGTGCAAGAGTGTTTCTATTGTACACTAGATTTACTAACCTCATGTTCACAATCTATCAGAAAGTGGTGAAAATCAGAACATAAGCTCTCATCACCCTCACTACCAAATATCGATCTGTTGCATGCAGATAATTAACATGTGTGGGAGGCAGGCTATTTCTTTTCTTTTCTTTTTTGTTTTTTTTTTTTTTGGGGGGGAGAGGTCTTCGCTATAGGGCGTGTGCCCTCACCAGAGAGAGACAGAGAGATAGAAAGCGAGAAATCACACCCCAGAGGGGATGGCCATGCCGCAATCCCTTCTCCTCCATTCTCCTCTCAGGATCTTGGGCATGCACGCACAAGCGCCCGGTGTGAGTTTAAGCCACTGGATCCAAGATTTGAACCGCGGTTCACTACGTGGGAGTCCAACAACACAGCCATTACGCTAACTGCTGGTTCCGGAGGCAGGCTATTTCTGAAGTAATCTATTGAATATTTTCCTGAAAACACCTTGTTTTTGGTCTCAGACAAGGCTCATTCTCCCAGATCTCCAGACCTCTTTTCTCTTTAATCTGAAAGCTGAGCCACTACAACTCCAAGATGGCCATTTTTCTTCCTTTTAAGTCAGCAGCCTGTATTCCAACACCAATTTAGGATTTCAAAATGTTATGCTTTTTTATGCTCTTTGGGTTAAACTGCAGTTTCCAAATCCTCATGATTCCCTCTCCAAATTAATAATATTGTGAAAAAAAGAGCATTTTTAGTGACAGCAAATTTCACATAAAAGCAAAACCAAATACTAAGTCTGTAAGTCTTAGGAAAAACAAAATTTAAAATGTTTGGTGAAAACTAACTCAAAACTATGAAATCAAAGTATACATTAACAAATCGCAAAGTAAGCAGGCTATGCCGTTAACAAGAAAAGTTAACTACACATTACAAAATATTTACTACTCACTATGAATTTCAAAACTACTTGGCATATAACAGTACATCCTGAGTTAATAAATTGTTCTAGATTCTGTACTTCTCTGGTTATGTTCATATAAAGCACTTCCTTATTTCTGCCAAGCTAAAAATAAAAAGGATGAGATTAGTGACACAACGATCCCTGAAGTTATACCAGGAGGTGTTGCAGATAGCCAAGACTAAAAGGAACAATACCAGAACTCTGGCTGTCAACATGAGGCTGATAAAAATAAAAGGTGAAGCATGCTGGACTATGGTATTGTTTCCAGACAGGAAATAGCCGTCCAGGCCCGTGCACAGAGTTTTGGCACCCGCCCTGCAGCCTGCAATGGGGTCAGAAAACTAAAGTGTCGCCTACTCAGCGGGTCAGAGCAGGGACCCTCCTTCTCAGCCTGCGTCCAGTGCGCGTCGAGCCGCCGCCTCCACCGAGCC